GTGGCATAAATTGGACCAAATAACAAAACTTTGGTATAAACTTTTATTAATAAATTTGGATTTAATCAGCTGTAATTTGGCAGCCGAATAACCCAATTTGGACTAGTGATATGTGTTATAATACATCATTATTCTATATATTGCTAATTATATATATACTAAGCTAATCAATACTATATATAATTACTACTAATAGACTGTTTATAAACCTGGAATAATATATATTTTGTCTTAATTTTTCTTAGCACAATTTTTATAAGAGTATTCTGGTTATTAGGCCATCAAATACAATATCTTGGACTCTGGTTTTTAGTTTTTTAAAGTGGTCCACAAATTTCTTCTTTTATTAAAACCTTTTAATAGTAAAGTTTATAAAATTCTGACATAGTCACATATATGAGCTACTTGAAGAGATTGTTTATATTTGAGATTTTTTCTTTTTAGGTTCATTAATAGCATGCTACTGGTTTTTGGATATACTCTTCTTATTATCCTTTTATAGATAATGCAATGACATCAAAGATAGTTCTAGCCAACTTCAAATAATCAATTATATTACAATAGTTATATAAATTAATTACTATATTTAGAAATATTGATTATTTTATGGTTAAGTTAATAGATAGAGGTTTTTTTCCTTTTTCAAAAAATAGCCTTCAATATCCTTTTAAAAGAATTGAATCCTAATTTTGTAATATAATCTCTGAAGCATTAACCATTGTACTATAGACTTAGAGATTTATGATATATTTATTTTATTTTATTATTTTTATTTTTTTTAAAGAGCTAAGTTGTAATACATACATGAATTTTATTAATAAATTAATTGAGATCACAATTATCTATATATAAACAGTCTATTAATTATTGTTAATATTAACTCATATTACTTATTTTTTTTATCAGAATACTAACTTATATTTAAAGGTAGGTTTATATTCTGGCTTTTATCACTATATAATAGTTTTATAACTATCTAAATAAATATTTATTATATCATACTTCCACACTGCATATGCTATATATAATAACTGGAACCTTTAATACAAGTATATATTCTCTAGTGAATATTCTAATTTTACTATTGGTTATCATTAACTGTCAAATCTAGAGGCCATTTTGATCAAGTGAGATATGATTTCTTAAGGAACTTTCCCTTAAACTTTTAGTAAATATTTCAAATAGACCAGTTGATATAGGTTACCAAATCTAGAAATATGAATATCAAGCAGGGTATAACTCCTGCATACTCTGTCTTGCCTTATGACAACTATATCAAAGATACAGATTATTATGATTTCTTGTACTAGTTTTAAGATCTTTTTACTTTGATAATTAAATCCAATTATTATAAAATAACTTCTAATAATAATTGTGCTCCAACTGAATAATTGTTGTATCATGGCACCTTTTTTGAATATTACAATCTCAATGTCTGCTGAATTAGCACATAAAATGACTTCTTATAAAAAATAGTACATTACTGATTATGGTGCCCGATACTATATAGGTTCTATTAATTGTCTTTACCTGGAATTAAACCAATATCTTGTAATTTGACTTGTGAAGTGCTAATCACTGTATTATAGATTCACAAGTCAATATTGTTAAGAATAGTTAATAAACTTTATTATAAAAATATATTAAATTTTTTTTGAAATATTTGTTTTTAAATTGATAAAAATCAATAAAAAATATCAAGTTATAATTTTTATATACAAGAGATATTATTTTTTTTTAAAAAGAAACAATTAATTATATTGTATATTAAAAAAAAAATTATTATAAATTATTGATCATAAATTTTATGTTTTATTATAAATTGTAAAAATAGTCAAATTTTGAAAGAAAAAAAATCAATGAATAAAGATAAATTAATATCATTACGAAAAACATATAAATTAAGCGGTTTGATAATTTTGATATAAAATTTTTGTATCAATTATTTAAATAAATGCGATATATTATTATAAAGCAATTATTGTTTTTTTTAAAAAAAAATTCTTTTTCTTTTATATTTCTTTTATATACTGTACAGTCCCATGCCATTATTATATGCACACCATTAATTTTTCCGATAACAAAAAATCACGCAATAATAAACTGTATATACAGTACATGCCAAATATTGATAATCTATTGGGGCGCTATAAAAAAATATATTTATTTGATTATTTGAATAATATAAGCTGAAAAAAATCATTCAGATTATTTAATTCATAATTAGAAATATACATTCATTATATATTTATGTTGCACATTATTCAATATACTGTACACATACAGTATTTACAGTATATAATGAATTTGAAGTACTTTAAATACTATTTTAAGAAATATTTTTGAATTAGGGATAAAAATAGAAACAAGCATTTTTTTATTATTGCGTATATGATTTTCTAATGTTATAATCAAATTAATTTAATAAAGATAATTTACAGTATAATTGACAAGCGAACAAAGCTCGGTTTATTGAATCCATCGCGATAATAGCCATCGGAATTAGAATTCCTATTTTGTCAAATGCGCACAAAATTGCTACTGCGTAACATATTCATTCTCTCTATTTAAAAAAGGTTTTAACCAACCGCTGAGATAGGGAACAACCAATTTCACATGAGCAATTTGTGTAAAAACAGAGACCCCAAAAAGCAAGGCTGTAAAACGTATATATAGGATCAGGCATTATTTTCTCTGGGGATTAATCACATTCAAATTTTCTTCATGATTCTTGTTTTAAAAGCATGAAGGATTCACAAGCAACATTACTTCCACATAAACCGCATGCGCATGCCCAAGTAGAGTTAAAGATATCCTGCACAGATTTACCTAACTTGGATTATATATCGAAAACCGATCCTCAAGTCATATTGTTGAGTAAGGACCAGAGAACTCAAAAATGGAGTAATACACCGCATGCAACTGAAGTTATTGAGAACAATTTGGATCCGAAATTTGTGAAAGGCATCGTGGTGGATTACCTTTTCGAGGAACTTCAGCAGTATAGGTAAATTTTAATTTTTTGAAAAAATTTACTCGATACATATTCTAATGTATTACAGATTTATAACCGTTAACGTAAATGACAAGCGAAATCAAGACTGGAGAGATCAAGAATTTATTGGGCAATTCGATTGTGATCTTGGATCAATACGTAATAACAATAAAAATTTCCTCAATATTAGTTTACAGGGAAAGATTACTTACTCCATATTAATTTAGTGGGTAGTCCAGGAGGTAAGATTAAGGGAAGACTGATCTCCCCAAAACATCATGGAAAAAAACGTGGATTCATAATTATAACGGCCGAAGAGGTCAGCAGCTCCAAGAGGGAGGCAAAGTATGTAATGTTATCAATAGATTCTTTTTTTCTTTTACACGAGAAAATTTCATATTTCGACATCAAATAGGCTCCAATTCCGTGCTCATAATGTTGGAAAGGTGGAAAACGTTCTAAATGACATGCCGCAAATATCAATACACATCTAATGATAGTTTTGAACATGTAGGGTGGCCTGTTTGAGACGAAACCGAACTTGTTCTTTACTTTCAGCAGGATCAACGAAGACAAAACATTTTCGCCGGTTTATGAATCAATTGATGTTACATCAACAAGTCCCTTGTGGCCGGCATTTACCAGTACGTATAAGTCAATAATGTATCGATCGATCTTAATTCTCCCGCTGATTTATCGACAACTGCCGTAGTCCGAGAATCTACTTTGTGTAATGGAGACCCAAATAGAACCATAATGTTTCAAGTACATCAACGTAAAAAGAATGACAGTATGTGTTTTAAATCTCTTGTAAATTCATTCTATTCTCTCTCTTTATGGACAAAACTATAAGCACAATTTTTGGCGAACCTTTAGCACCCTCAATTCAAGGCCAATACTCGCTTACCCTCCGAGAAATAATGACCGGAAATCGCAGATTTCCTCTGCAGTCACCTTCTGGTCATACCAAAAAAAATGCATATATCGAAATTCTTCAAGCGCAAATCGAAGAACCACCAACGTTCTTAGATTATATTATTGGAGGTATGCGAGTGAATCTCGTGGTAGCTATCGATTTCACCACGTCGAATGGAGACCCTAGATCATTAAAGAGTTTACATTATGCATGCGGCACGAAGGATAATGACTACCAGAAAGCAATTCGGAATGTCGGAAGCATGTAAGCAAGCATTCTACTTGTTTTAAAAGTAAACAGATTGCCTCAATCTTTTTTGTAATTTGTAGATTGGAGAGTTACGATCATAATAGAAGGTTTCCGGTAGGTTACATAAGTTAGCATTGACCACCTTGCGATTGTAAAGACAGTTCTCAAATTGAATCAATCGTAGGTATACGGATTTGGTGGTAAATTCAATGGTGTACTTTCTCACGTATATCCATTGAATAACAATATGCGTAATGTATATATATAATCACTCTCCTGGCAACTTGAATACAAACCATCAATAGCTGATTAACTAATGAATTATTTGTTTTATTTAAGCCCGAGGTTGAAGGAGTTGGTGGGATATTAGCAGTATACTTGAAAACGATCAGATCTGTGGAATTATATGGTCCCACATGTTTCTCGCCGGTAAATTATGAATGGGCGATCATCACTAGAACTGGCAATTATGAAATTTAATGTTTGTGAAAATGCTAGGTTATAGAGCAAACGATAAATAAAATAGAAGAAAAATTAAAGACCGGAGACGTCGGTTTTTATTACATCTTGCTAATTATCACAGGCATGTAAGATTTTAACACATTCTTTCATTACCGGCGGTATGAAAGATTCTTAACTAACTAAAATTATTATTAGATGGGGTAATTACAGGTAAAAAAAAAATGCATTTCTTTCAGTCTTTTTGACCTATAGCATAGATTGTTCAAATGATCTATTGTTCCTCCAGATATGGAAGCTACTATACGGGCAATAATAAAGGCCAGTGCTCTTCCTCTGTCCATAGTTATTGTTGGTGTGGGTAATGCCGATTTCACAGCTATGAACATTCTTGATTCGGACGATCATCCATTAACGGTAAACTTCAATTCTTGTTGATCAATGCATTATCACATTCTGTTTCTGATCATTCTTCCCCGTTATAACCAATGAAATGAAATGACAGCAAGCGTCCAACAACAAAAAGGGACAACCTTTAAAATCGCAAAGAGATATTGTACAATTTATTGCATTGAGAGATTTCCAGTCGAAAACGGCACATCACCATTTACCCAGAGCTGTGCTAGAAGAGATTCCCGGTCAGTTCATGAGCTATATGAAGAAAAATAATATAAAACCATCTCCCCCTGTTTATGTGAAGGCAGAAGAATTATTGGTCAGCAGTAAATTTGACGTCGAGCGATTTGATGAGTCACCACCCTATTATAGTGATTAATTATTTTTTTTCAACGACAAAAAACACCGATGGCGAATTAATATTCTTTGGGTAATGTGTATATTACGATTAATGATGAATGAAATGTTAGAGTTTAATATAATAAAGCAAATAAAACGATTACTGTAAGTCATAAGTTAGGTTCACATAATTTCAACATGTCATGAAGGGTTGGGATTTGTGGCCTTAAAAATTTACCATTAATAATTTTCAGTGCTAAATATAAACGCTAGCTTCGAACGGTGTCAAAAAAAAACTTATCAGGCTTTTAGCCCGAGGATCCCGGAAAGGGTGTTAAACCATCTCCATAATTATTCAAGGGTAACTAAAATGATTGATTCTCAAATTTGACCAATCATTTTTTTGGAGTTAAACCGCATTCACAATGTTATTTCTTACAACGAATTATTCTAATGCGAGATCATAAATCCAACTCTGCATACATCGTGAAATATGCCGAATCGAATGATTATTGGCGAGTTGTCAAACAGGATTCCACGAAATGATATTTGTTATTTACAAATAAAAATGTGTTGCAAAACAAGACTTGACAAAATAATCTAGCAAATCCGAGATCGACTCTTTGTTAACACAGACCCTGTTGGATCGTTAATTAACTTTTTCTTGATAATAATAAAGAGGATGATAGTAAGTTCTTTTCCTCAGTCGACAACTTACCGGACCAAGAACAATAAAATCATACCCTTCTTATGACCTTTAGCATTCCTTCCTTTAATTTAATTCGCTTAATATATTATAACTTTCGTTATGCCAACCTACTCCACAATAACCATCCTTTACATGACACTACAAATCATCAGTTCACTCCTCCTTATTATATTGATGTACTCTGTCATCACTTCAAAGCATCACTTCACGAAATGGACTCTCTTCCAATTGTGCATAGCGGCATTTGTAAACAATACTAGTAGGCTTCTGTATGCTTTAATACGCGGAGAAAACGATTATTTAGACAGGTCATCGACACAAATAACTATCAAAATGGTTGCTTCATTTATGTTCTTTCCGCTGATGGTTATTCCTTCGGTATTAGCATTCTACTTGTGGTATGCTTTGGTCAAAGGAGATATGACGATCGAAAAAAGATGGATTTATTATGTTTCAGCCGCGATTTGGATGTATGCAGCAATGCACATTCTCGTCTCGCTCGTGGGGATATTAGGACGAAGAATTGTTAGCGATGATGTTAAAAATTATGCATACCTAATACCCATCATGGTGGTGGCCCTGTTCGCCTTGGCAATTTCATGTAAGTGACGAGTCGTTGTTTTTCTAGTAAAGCCATTTCAGCTTTGCCTTAACGATCCTTTGGTTAATAAATTCAAAGGTCATTCGTGTTTAATATTATGGAGAAGGTGGCGCAACCATAACTATCGTCAAAGCAGAACTACCGCCATAAAACTTGGACATGCTACGAGACTGTTTGCTTTCAGTTTCGTGTACATTGTGATCCTTTTATCCAAATCCATTTCGCTAATGATTAGCCTTAATTTTTTTGTACATTACGAAAAATCCCTGGGAGCTTTGGCTTTTATTTCTGACTTTGTATCGGCTTCAGTGTAGGTAGCTGGGATTGAGAAATCACCTTGTTTTTATTATCTATTCACTGAAAATCATTTTGTAGAGGAGTGTTCTTGTTCTCGGTTTTCGGTTCAAGTAAAAGGGCAGCGATATTTCTACCATGCTGCTACTATGCTCCACCAGCTTCACTAGTACCTCTTCCATTATTCAACGGCGAACCCATTGCTACTGTGAATGATAAAATAACAACTGCAAGGGTAGTAAATTATGCACCAACACCGCAAACAATAGAAAAAGGTAGTGATCTTAGTCGTTTAAAATCCATAAAAGATAGTAAAACTGCAGAGGATGAACGTGAAAATACCTCGGTTGAGCCGAGGTCTTCAACGATGAGTGGGGATTTTAAAAGGAAAGCTGACAATATGAAATGCAAGTTAAAAATGTCTGAATCAGACAAAGGTCATAAGATCGTTAAGAGCGATAGCAGAAATTCCTTGATCGTGACAATATCGTCAACAACGGAACATTTTGAAAGTCAGATAACTAATGTTGATAATACTGATGATACATTGAGATGTCCAGAACCCGTCAAAAAAAAGATGTATGATATTCGAAATATCATGATTGTGGGTGACGAGAATACAGGTATTTCCACAGATGACGATTACAGTTTCATAAATTTTTATCTTTATTAATAGATAGAGGTAGCATGTTTAAAAAGGTATAACGAACGCGTGGGTATACAATATTTTCTTGGTGTAAAAAATATACTGTAAATTGGATATTCACTACACGCATACGTATACTGTAAATTAATAAAAATTTCTATTTGTTTTTTGTCGCTCAATACGGTACTAATGACATCATTAACGTTAATTAAATTGTTCAGCCAACGGAAAGGTGACACGTCATGTGATAAACAGTTGAATAAAAATTTAAAAATTGGATGTTGTAAAGTCACCTTCGATCATTCATTGCTCGAATGTCACAACGCAACAAAGTGAAATTCGCTAGTGAACCTTCATCAGGTTCCACATCGTCCACCGAATTCGTGCCTATCCAAGATTCCGATTTCACAGCTAAATTTCATCCAATTCCTCACTCCTTAATCACACTCAGCCAACTGACATTGTCAACGCTATGCCTTTTTTATGTTCCCCCCGCGAAACTTTTGGATGATCCAGTAAACTGTTTAAACATAACGACTAGTTTATTGATCATTGTACAATTGTTTATCGAGATCATTAGGTGGATGTTATATTTGCAAGGCGATGGAGTTGAAACTGCCAAATCTGTAAAGGCTATGATCAGGAATTTGATAAAGTACAAGGGTGCGGTATGGTGTTTTTTGAAAGGATGATATTTGATGACACCGTTCAATGTATTCAAAATCTTGCTAATTAATGATGATTTCGTTGTCTTCCTAAAGAATTTTGGTCATGCAATATGGATAACGTTATTTGGAGCATTTATGTTTCATATTATCGCGATTCTCTTCGGTGCGCCACTCATCTCGTGAGTTCAATAATTGATTACCTTTCGATCTAAGTTTCTCCTGCGAAATTACGCTGACTTTGACTTTGTCGAGCAGCAATGTACAAAACACATGGTTATTCGCGCTTTATATGTCACTGCTCACCATATTTCCCCCCGCTGTGGCCTTTAAAAATCATGGACCTTATTGGTCGAGGGTATTTTCTGATAACAAGTAGTTATCCTATCCGTCTTATACTGTATATGTTTGACATTTCATTTATTGACTCACTGGATTGCAATTTAAAAAGTCCAGAAAGCATCCCAGAAAAAATGATATATTACACGACAGTAACGACAGTTGTTGGAGCGTGGTTGGGGGCCACGGTTATACCATTGGATTGGGATAGACCATGGCAGGTTAGTTAAAACACCTGCTTCGTCTTTGCTCAAGTTCTTCGTATTTGATTTTTGTTTTTTTTTAGGTGTGGCCAATTTCTTGCGTGATCGGAGGTTACATAGGACATGTGGTCGGAAGTATTTTGTCATTAATTATATGTTGCTTTGGGAGTGAAGGAGCTGGTGTACGAAAGAAACGATTTTGAAGGATTATGGCATAACCGGTTAAACTGATACATAATAAACCAGAGAAAAGAAGATAATTTTACTAAATTCATGGTGTCCTCTAACAATTAAGTTTGTCACGGAATAAACATAAACCAATGATCGGAATATATTTTAATTATTGTTTAATTGGGTGTATGTTAAAATGATAATTTTATGTTAGAAACCATGGTGAAGAAGACAGTGATGAAGCAACCATAGACATGAATGTACAATCAACAATTTCGGGCAAGCAATTAAAATCAAATCATTAAGAATTGGCGATCCTGATCGCCGAAAAAATAAAATTCTTCCAGTGTTTGAAATCCTCATGATTTTGAACTTCACTTTGCGCCGCTGGAGATGATTGTGAATTTATGGAAGGTTCGTAGAGTAACTGAAAATTTTTACATAAGTCTAGGCATTATCTTAAAACTCCACGTAAATTCAATGATAGATTAAATCTTACCGAAATTTCGGGTCTGACAGTATTTGTTTCCTGTTCTACAACTTTTTTTACGGCCAAAACGAATCCATTATATTCATAATATCCATTTCTATGTATCCTGGCACTTTCCAAAGTGTACGGGACTGAGAATGATTTACCTTCGAGCACATACTCCTTTGGACATTGAATATCTCGAGAACTGATGATCATTCAATGTAAATAAAATGATAATTCTATGCGGTAATGCCTGTCGATAACATTAATCCAACCTAATACGTACTTGTAAAGTGTACATTGACTGACAAAATGCGTGATGTCTTGACTACCAAGCAAAGACTCCTTTATCGAGGACAGCAGTCGAATATCTTTTGGGCTTTCATTTTCGTAAAAATTACTAATGAATATCATGAACATCGGATGATGTTAAAAATATTATTATTATTGCACACTAACCAGTCCATCATCAAGATATCCACCAAAAGACGTCGTTTATATATTGAAAAGTCATTTAATCTAAGACTCTTATTGATCACATCGAAACGGAAGCTCAAGCGATCAGATGTTAAACAAATCGAATCAGAGGAATTTGTTTGACACGGCAGATAGTCCAATTGAACCACCGTCTGAGACTCTGAAAGTTGATTCAACGATTCTAACAAATCCGGTTGCGGATAACTAGAAAAAAGATGGATTAATCGAATCAAAGTTGAAAGATGAAAGACGAGTAACAACTGTTATACCTTAATTTACCTTGGAAGAAACAGTTTTGTCGGATTTTTTGTTTCATACCACTTTCCTATAATTTCACGCGAATGACTACCTTCTAATGGCGGTAAAAATATATTTTGCATTGACTTTGTCTTGTCGTGAAAAATGTTATGCCCAAAACTATAACCAAAAAAATATTGTGAAATTGAAACAAAAGGTGATCGAT